TCCCTCCCTCCCTCCCTCCCTTCCTTCCTTCCTTCCTTCCTTCTTTCCTTCCTTTTCTTTTCTTTCTTGATGGAGTCTTGCTTTGTCGCCAGCCTGGGGTGCAGTGGCGCTATCTCGGCTCACTGCAACCTCGCCTCCCAGGATGGAGCGATTCTCCTGCCTCATCCTCCTAAGTAGCAGGGATTACAGGCACACACCACCATGTCCACCAAATCCATAACATACCCTTTAATCATGATTATTTGAGTTTGTATTATCTGCTTCCCGTAGGGAATGTATGGATTCATCTATGCATTGTATGGACACTAACAAAATGGTTGCATTTATCTGAATAAATGGATGAAGAAGTTAAAAAAAAGTCTACATATTAGGTAGACCATATATATTGTATCTATTTGGGATAGTACAAATGATTAACAACTAAATTAAGAATTGAAAGAGCACTAACCTTACATATTCTTTAACAGTCAGTAGCTTTAGATAAAAAAGACTTTCGAATGGGCAAAAAGCATCCCTGCAGCCTGCAAAGATGTTAATTATAAGAAATAGCAATTTACATTATTTATAAGGAAGCTATTTACAGTACTTAGCCTTGCCAGACACAGTAGTTGCAGAGCTCCATTCTGTTATTACAGTGAAAAGAATAAAGCAAAGTGACAAGGAAAAAGATATTATAATGGCTGCATCTAATTACAAGGAAGATAACACCTCTAAAATGTTAAAAATGCCTTGAATTTGATTTATTTATTTTATTTTTACTATTTACTTATTTTTTTTGAGATGGGGTCTAGTTCTGTCACCCAGGCTGGAGTGAAGTGGCATGATCTCGGCTCACTGTAACCTCCACCTCCCGGGTTCAGGTGATTCTCCTGCCTCAGCCTCCTGAGTAGCTGGGATTACAGATGTCTGACACCACACCCAGCTCATTTTTGTATTTTCAGTAGAGACGGGGTTTCAACATGTTGGCTAGGCTGATCTTGAACTCCTGATCTCAAGTGATTTGCCCATCTGAGCCTCCTGAAGTGCTGGCATTACAGGTGTGAGCCACCACACCCAGCCAATTCAATTTAAACTAAATAAAGTGTAAACTTCCATCTTATCATAATGATGATTCAGAATATAACACCCATTTAAATATTCAGTCAAGCTTCCAAAAACTACTGCAAGTTAAGCATTGTTAGCTTTAGTGTGTGCAAGGAGGAAAGTGACTAAGATGCAATGTTTCATAATTCAGGTATTTGAATTTGCTTAGACACATTTTCTTTTACCAGTGACTTAGAAATATAAGTGTCTGCCCTATGAGAAAGTTTGTTTGTGAGAGTTGCCAGATTAGAAGGAAAAACACCACTTTGTCTTCCATTTTTTTCTTTCCTCTTCTGTGACCACTTTAATTTTATCCTGCTGTTTCACTTTCATCAATATAATAGATAGCACTCAGTGGCAAATTACACCAGTTTTTGATCTGCAATGGACAATCTGCCATGTTAGAACAAGAAAAAGATGAGAAAAAAGAGAATTTACCAAGCTGACTTTTTAAAAAGGCTATTAATATTTTTGCGAATGCCCAGTGATGAATTATTTCTCTAGGACTACATTCTTTAAAGTCTTATAATTTGTATTGCTCACTTAAGAGAACAAGATAAAATCTTTGTTGATCAAAGGGTGATATCTACATCCTGATTAGAGAATTGGACTCCTACAGTGAGGTGTCATTGCATCTCACTGCTTGCCAGGAAGTTTCTCTGGCTATAATTAACTGTGCTGATGAGCAAAATTATCTTCCTTCAAAGAGTATTAGGGTACAGTAGACGTGACATATTAGGCCAGCCTCACAAATTAGCACAGGCCCACAGAGCCTGCATGAAATTAGGTCAGACTTGAAAGATATCAGGCTGTGGTCCAATAAGCTTCTTAGTCTGAAATGGAAAATTGGGTTCACAGGGTGTTAGGGTCACTGTCTTTATTTAAGTGTGATAGAACTGGTAACAATTTTCAGCGTTAAAGACCGATTTTTCTAAGCCACCAAATATTTCTGGTTCTTCTCTTAGATAATTTATTGTGTTACATAATTTATAAGAAAAGAAGGTTCTCCATTTTCTCAATACTCATACTTTAATAAATTCAATTCTGACTTTTGCCTATAATAAATAGGGAAAGAATAAACTCCCCAAGTATTTTCCTGGAGGTCTGTAGTTTCCCCATCAGAAGCAAAGTCTCCTAAAATCCCTGTTTAAAATGCAAAGTATTTTGAGAGTTAACACTTCAGGCCACTAGTATGTATTAATGTCCTATGGTTAAGGTTGAGCAAAATGTACATTAATTTAGAATACAAGATCATTAAAGTAAGGCTGGAATGTGCATAAATAGATGTAATCATAATTATTAGAGGCACAGACATCATGTCCACAGTTACAGACCTCAAGGTACAAATAGAGTAAAGAGAATAGATCAGTTGCATATACAGTACTCCCCAGCTATCTGTGGGGGACTAGTTCCATGACACCTGCAGATACCAAAATCTGTGGATGCTCAAGCCTCTGATATGAAATGCTGTAGTATTTGCATACAACTTGTGCACATTTTTCAGGATGTTTTAAATCATCTCTAGATAACTAGTAATACCTAACACAGTATAAATGCTATGTAAATAGTTGTATTTTTGTGTTATTTTTTCTGTTGTATTGTTATTTCTAATTTTGTTCTGAATATTTACAGTCTGCAGTTGTTTGAATCCACAGATGAAGAACCTGAGATTTGGAAGGCCGACTGTATTTGATTCTTAAACTGCTTGTCAGATATTTCTCTAATTTCGATTTGATTAACAAGCTTTGCTTTGGTGAGTGATCAATACAGCCTATTCATTTTGAGCACAGGTTTTGGAGTCACAAGCTGAGGACCTGGTCCCTGACACTACGATTGTACGCTGACCTTTGTCAAATGACTTAACCTCCTTGAGCCTTAGTTTCCTAAACTGTGAGATGGATATACTAATAGTATCCTAAGTTGTAAAGTAGTTATGATGATTAAATGAGATAAATGAAAGTACATGTTTCAAATGCTTACTGCCTGACACACGTGAATGGTCATGGTCATCATAATTATAGTTTTAACATGGATAAAGAATATAGTCTGGATTTGTGACCTTAAATTTTTGGCTCTAATATTTGCCAGCGCTCTGCTCAGAACATTCTCTGTTCGCACTTCATACAGCGGTGCCAGCGCGCAGCCAGGCAACACCCTCAGGAGCATCATTCTTTTCTGGACCTGGTTCTTTCTCGCTCTGCCCTCCAGGGGCCGCTGTGTTTCTCAGAAAGCGCGCGGGATGCTCGGTTGCCACGAGACCGTCGCCAGGCAACCGCGTCTACACACACTCCAGACGGGCCGGGGGGCGTCAATATGGCGGCGCAGAGCGCCCCCTCGAGCTCTCCGTCAGACGACTCTACCGCCTCGGGGTCGCTGGCAGAACTGCCACCGACAGCGACCGCGACTTCGAGGTCGCCCCCAGAGTCGAAGGGGAGCTCCCGGAGCTCGCTGCTTCAGTGGACCTGCCCCGAGGACTCATTGCCCCTAGCCGTGTTTTATGGGCCGCTGGACGCGAAAAACCCGCTCCTGGCCTCTTGTGAGAAGGAGATCCGGGAGTTGTTAGGCTTTATGAGGAAAAAGAAGGCTTTAGCCACCACGGAGGAAGAGAAGCACGAATTCCGCCGGCGTTGGTAAGCGCTGGCGGGGCACTGGGGAGGGCGCCGGCCAAAGGAGGGACCCCTGGAGAGGGTTTGAGGATGCAGGTGGTGGCCCCGGAGCTGGTTCAGCGTTGCGGACGCAGGGGCTGCCTGAAGGGCCCAGGAGAGAGAAACAGAGTTTAAGAAGTGGAGACTTGTCGCTCTTAACAATCCTTAATTCCTGAGAGATGTTATATCTTGGCTTCCTGCTCAGGTCAAAATAAAAATCTACACAGGAATGTTTCATAACTCACTATTTGTTATTTGACCAGAAAAGAAAGATGGTAACATAAGCAGGAAAGAACCTTAAAAAGAGTTCGCAGTTTGCAGTAATAACATGGTGATAGAACTCCCAAAAGGTAAACAGTTGTGCAGAATGAATCGCAAAATTAAGAAAAAGTCACTGTAATCCTAATAACAATCTAAGAAGGAATTAAAGTGCACATGTTCACAGGATGACATACTTCATTGTATCAAGAGCTAGCTTCATGAACCTAATCTACCTCAAAGTTATTCCTTTTTCTCTATATACAAATGTTATGTACTTATAACATGAAAAGTTTTGAAACCCTTGAGTGAGCCAAAAATTTATACTTGAATACAAAATACAAAAATTAGCTGGGTGTGGTGGCACATGCCTGTACTCCCAGCTACTCAGGAGGATGAGGCAGGATAATTGCTTGAACCTGGGAGGCAGAAGCTGCAGTGAGCTGGGATGACACCACTACACCCCAACCTGGGCGACAGAGCAAGACCCTCAAAAAATAAATAAATAAAATAAAATGTTTTTGTTATGCATTTAACAACTATTTATTGAGCACATACTGTATATCAAGTACTGTTCAAGGAACTAGGAAAACATCAAGTTAACAAAACATAAAAATCCATGTCCTTATGGAGCATGTATTTTTGTGAATATAAACAACCACTAAACAAATATGTAAGTAAATAATTTTACAAAGAGATGACTGCTAGGGAGAAAAATAGAACAGGGAGTCGTGATGGAGGATATGAGATGAATGTTGCAATTTTATCTTTTTTTTGAGACAGGGTGTCACTCTTGCACAGGCTGGTGTGCAGTGGCTCAATCCTGGCTCACTGAAACCTTGAACTCGGAGGCTCAAGGGATCCTCCCAGCTTGACCTCTCAAAGTATTGGATTACAGGCATGAGCCACTGCACCTGACCTGAGTGTTGCAATTTTAAATGGGGTGGTGGGAAGCATGGTTAGGGAAGGTCAGGAAAAGTCACTTTTGAGAAAGATGAGAAAGATATATGGGAACAATTGATGAGGATTTTTGTGCACAGAGTAGGTCACACAGGGAGAATGGCAGATGGGAAAGACCTGGGGTGGAATTGTGATTGTGGAAAGAGCAAGAGGGAGGGAGATCAAGAGTTTATAATTTTATAAAAATTGAGATGTGATTCAGCATCCAGGTGGAGCTGCTATGTAGGTAGTTGGACATTTGAATCTGGAAGTCAGATGAGATATACATTTGGGATTCATATGATATTTAAATCATGGCACCTGATGAATAGCTAAGAGAGTGTGTGTGTAAATGGAGAAGGGAAGAGTCCAAGGATTGAGCCCTGGGATGCTCCAGCATGGACAGGGAGAGGCAATAAGAAGAAACCAACAGAGACTAAGGAGGAGTGGCCAATGGAAAACCATTAAGTGCCTGGTGTACTAGAAGCAGGTAGAGAAAGTATTTCAGGAAGAAAGGAATGATCAGCTGTGGCAAATTCTGCTGACTGGCCAAGTAAGATGAGTACCAAGAATTGACCAAGGAAGGTCCATTATATACCTACCCTATATGCTTTATTTATTTATTTATTTATTTATTGAGAGGGAGTTTCACTCTGTACCCCAGGCTGGAGTGCAGTGCTGTGATCTCAGCTCACTGCAACCTCTGCCTCCCAGGTTTCAGTGATTCTTGTGCCTCAGCCTCCGAGTAGCTGGGACTACAGGCGCCTGCCACCACGCCCGGCTAATTTCTGTATTTTTAGTAGAGACGGGGTTTCGCCATGTTGGCCAGGCTAGTCTGGAACTCCTGACCTCAGGAGATCCACCTGCGTTGGCCTCCCCAATTGCTGGGGTTACAGGCGTGAGCCACTGTGCCCAGTTTATACATTTATATTTAAATAGTTTCCATCTTTGAATTTCATCTAGCCATCTCCACTACCAGCATTCCAGTCCAAACCACCACCATTTCACATTTTCCCTGCAGCCACTCTGTCTCAAATCTATCCTTCACCTAGCAGTCAGGATGATCTTTGTAAATCTTATCTAAAGTCTTTCTATTGCTTCCCATTGCTTTTGGAATAAACTTAAGAATTCTGATACTCTCCAGGGGCTGAGGTGTTGACCCTGCCTGCCTTTCTCAGCTCTCTTCTCTTCTTTTCTCTCTCAGGACTTTCCAGAGAAACAGGTCCTACTGTTTCTCACCTCAGAGCCTTTATATTTGCTATCTTTGTTGTCTGAATGTTCTTCCCTAAGCTTTTCAAAAATCTGGCTCCTTCTCTTTTTTCAGGCCTCAGCTCAGTTGTCACCTTCTTAGAGTGGCCTTTCCTATCTAATGCAGATTCACTCATAGGTTTATATTTTTTAATTGATTTGTTTTCTTGTGCATTGTCTGTCTCATTAGGATATAAGCTCCCTGGTGACTTTGGATAATGTGTCTCTCTTTCATTGCTGTATTTCTGGCACTAAACCTGGGGATTGGGACATAGTAAACATTCAATAAATATTTAGTATTGAAAGAATTCAAGAGTTATTATCCTTGGCCTGGTGCAGTGGCTTACGCCTGTAATCTCAGCACTCTGGGAGGCCGAGGCGGGCAGATCACCTGCGGTCAGGAGTTCGAGATCAGCCTGGCCAACATGACGAAATTCTGTCTCTACTAAAAAATACAAAAATTAGCCAGGCGTGGTGGTGTGCACCTGTAATCCCAGCTATTCAGGAGGCTGAGGCATGAGAATCGCTTGAACCGGGGAAGTGGAGGTTGCTGATGTGCCGAGATCATGCCACTGCACTCCAGCCTAGGTAACAGAATGAGACTCTGTCTCAAAAAAAAAAAAAAAAGTTATTATCTTTATATTCTCAGTAATTGTGAATATTACATATAGGAAAGTAGACATGGGCCAGTCTATGTACGGTATCTGTGCCATCTTTAACAAGACTGTAAGAATCACAAGCGTTGCATTGACACATGCCTTAACAGTCCAACCTCTCACACAATTTTGGCCTTTATTTATACAATAATTTTTATTGAGTGCCTGCTATGTGTGAGGCAATGTACTAGACACTGGTTACACAGTGGTGAACAAAATAGATATGGGAGTCAGTATTCGTGGAGCTTACAGTCTAGAGAGGGAGATAGACATTCAGTAAGTCATTAGTAAATATGCAAACAACAAATGCCATGAAAGTAACTGCTGAGCACTTATATGTGTCAGGCATCCTACCAGGCACTGTGGCTACAGCAGTGAACCAGACAAAAATCTCTGCCTTCTCAGAGTTTATAGTCTAGAGAGGGAACTAGACAATAAACATCAATTATGTGTATTTTATGGTAATTTAGGAATGATAAATGCTGCCGGGCGCAGTGGCTCATGCCTGTAATCCTAGCACTTTGAGAGGCTTAGGCAGGTGGATCATGAGGTCAGGTGTTTGAGACCAACCTGGCCAACATAGTGAAACCGTGTCTCTATGAAAAATACAAAAAATTAGCCGGGCGTGGTGGTGGGTGCCTGTAATCCCAGCTACTTGGGAGGCCAAGGCAGGAGAATCACTTGAACCTGGGAAGCGGAGGTTGCATTGAGCCGAGATTGCGCCACTGCACTCCAGCCCAACAGAGTGAGACTCCGTCTCAAACAAACAAACAAACAAAAAAACCAAAGAAATGATACATGCTAGAGAGAAAAAGAAGATAATCTATTCCTATTAGAAATTAAAAAAAAAAAAAAGAAAAAGAGAAGAGGTTATGGAGTGGAAGACAGGAAGTTGCAATTTTCGTTAAGGTGGTCAGAGTAGATGACACTTAAAGCAGAGGCTTAAAGAGAATGTAGTGGGGACTTGCTTTTGAATGAGTGATAAGTGAGGTGCCATTAAGCTGAGATTAGAAGGACACCAGGGATTTGACTAGCCAAATGGAGAGGATGAACAGGGGGACAAGAATGCAGGAAGATCCTTGGCAGAACAGATCCATTCCTACTTTGGAGGAATGGACAGAATCCCATTTAGCAGAAGCACAGTGAAAGAGGTACAACAGTATGAGGTGAGATTTAGAGGAATAATAGGGCTTTGGAAGGTTTTAGAGGCCATTTTAAAGAGTTTGCATTTATTCCATTGGATAGTTTTGCAGAAGGATTATGTAATTTTTTTTTTTTTTTTTTGAGACAGTCTCACTCTGTCGACAAGGCTGGAATGCAGTGGTGCAATCTCAGCTCACTGCAACCTCTTCCTCCTGGGTTCCAGCAATTCTCCTGCCTCAGCCCCCTCAGCAGCTAGGATTACAGGCTCATGCCACCACACCCGGCTAATTTTTGTGTTTTTAGTAGAGACAGGGTTTCACCGTGTTGGCCAGGCTGGTCTCAAACTCCTGACCTCAAGTGATCCACCGCCTCAGCCTCCCAAAGTGCTGGGATTACAGGTGTGAGCCACCATACACAGCCTAATTTTTGTTTTAAGATATTATTCTGATGATTATATCCAAAGGGAACAAGAATAGCAGTGTAGAGACCAGTTAGGAGTACAGGAGGTAGGAGTTGCTTTTATAATATATTTGACAGATGGTTATTATTATTATTTTTTTTTTGAGACAGTCTCGCTCTGTCGCCAGGCTGGAGTGCAGTGATGTGGTATTGGCTCACTGCAACTTCTGCCTCCCAGATTCAAGTGATTCTCCTGCCTCAGCCTCTTGAGTAGCTGGGGCTGCAGATGCGAGCTACCACACCCAGCTAATTTTTGTATTTTTAGTAAAGACGGGGTTTCAC